ATCCTGCCCTCTTTGGCTCGCTAATCCTTTCTTCGCGTCATCTAATGCTAGTGCCATCCTACAGTGAAAGAAAACGAAAAACACGGTGCGAAAAGTGAACTCGTGACAGAGAATAGCGTCCGGGTTTGGGTGGGCGGGACAATTAGGGAAGAGTCAGAACTGCCATACGTATGCGGCCCGCAGACTTTTTACTTACTGTGGAGTGCGAAAGTGGTGATAATATGAGACACTTAAAAACAGACTACTAGAAGAAGTAGGATCGTCTACGACTTCATGTAAGTGCGGAACTGTCTTCTGCCATACAACATCTCTCAACAGTTGTAGTGCTTCAAAGATTACCGATAGAGCGCGGAATGGCTCAAAATGCAAAGTATGAACGCAGATTCAGAAGGGTCATGGGAAAAGCAAATGGCACTGAATGATGGCGCGCTGACCTGACCTCCAAATCATAACAGTGCATGAGTCTAGTCCTAGTGGAAGTCCGCTATGTGGCGAGGAGAGAGAGGGGAAGGATATCGTAAGCTCATGCAAGTCGAGAAAAATCATCTCAATCTTGAAAATTCCAGAAAAGTTGGGAATTTTCCGAAGCGTCATGTATGATTAGAATCTGAAAATATGCAAAATAAGCTACGGAAGGGGAGAGGTGGAGGAGAAGGAACGATTACGATGCCGCGGTAGCCACACTTCCCACAAAATGCGAAATCACTCTTCGCACAAAGGATCGTACCACTCATACCGGACGAAAAAGGCCTCTAGGCAAAAATTCGCTAAGACCCTCTGCCCCGCACCTGCGTTCCCACCTTATTTCAAATTGTTCCGCAATCCGAAAAATTTCGCAGTTTTTCCCTTATGCGTTAATATTATTACTTGCTGTGAGCGCGAGAAGGAGGTTGGATCGGTGGCAAAACAATGGTCAACAACGGCGAAAATTTTCCCAACGCAGCAAACTTTTCTGCTCAAATACACGTATACGCTTCCTCCAACAAAAAAACAATACGACATTCCCTCCCCTTTTCAGGGCGTCAGTGAAACAAGAAAGATCAACTATAAAAAATCTCTCAGACCAAATACGACCCCCCCCCTCCCGCTGTGGATTTTCCAAGTTGGAGATGTGGTCTGGTTAGGAGGATCGTGATTCAAATGAGAGAGCCGAGACGTTACCTGTGCACATGACAGCCATCCTGCTACATTCACGCCTATTCCGTGCAACAGACCTCGTACATCTGCGAATCACAAGGTTCCTCCTTTCCATATACTGTGAATGAAAATAGTCTGTAGAAGTAAAGAATAACCTTCGTCAATTCCTGTTCACGCTCCTGATCCTTCTGATGGAGAGCCGATTCAATGCGTTTTTTGCAATCCTCGTCGACAATCTTGCACAGAGTAATAAAGAATAACACAAGGGCGAAAAGCTCTAAGAGCATGCTGAACTGAAGCTGAAGGTTCGATGAGTTGAGACGAGACGAAGTGATACGACGCGCGAGAGCACTGGGAACGTGATCGAGACTGAGCCGGAATAAAAATATGACGGATGATGACTAAACACTACACACTGCCAGTCCTTAGGACGCCTCAGTTATGGCATTGCTCATTGCACAAAGTCTGGACAGCCGACTGCACTTTGTGGCAGGAGTGTGGAAATAGCCACACGAAGAACTGGAATTTATTAGCACAATTGATTCCTCGATTCGAAATTGAATTCTCACGATCGGAGAAGCAAGCAGATTGTCAGAGGAATCGTACAGGAATATTGAAGCCGATGTAGCGAATCCGGTGCAACAGCAACGATGAATGGGAACGAACTGAAGTCAATGTAGGACGTTTTGCCGCACTTTTACCGTCTGACTCAACGTTCTTTCGCAAAGAAAGGCGACGCAGTCGTCATGCGCACGACCCCAAGCTGCGATGGGCGACGATAAAAGCGCAATTTGTATTTGAATGAGCTAGCCTACTTTCAGAATCCAATGCCTTCGGCTTTTTGCCTAATGCTAGGGGTGGATTTCAACGTCCTCCAAGAATGAATATCTTTTACGATTCAATTCCTTCTCCGCAACAAGCTGCCGTAACTCACAGATAGAACCACCTCTTTTTGATCGATAATCAAACTAAGAACCATAGAAAAAAAAGTCCTATAGAAGGCAATCGAAAAAATACCAGACTATTCTAGGAATAAAAATGCGAAAATACTCTGAAAATAATGATAAAAACTGAGCTGCAGGGGAAAATAAGGACATCAGTTATACAAACTCAAACGGAGGTAAATTATAGCCTTGTTTGCTGCTGATGAGGGGGCGTGTCTAGGGGCGATTTGATTTGCGCGGCGTCAGCTCGTTCTTTTTCTTTCGGCAAGCCACAAGACTGTATCATATCGTTCGTATCAGTCGTTTTCCTCCATTTGTCGTTGCTAACCCGCTTCAATACCTGGTAGAGCACGGGCTGGCAGAGCGCCAAACCCAGACCCTTACATGTACCAGCGTCCGCGGTGGACAAGGTTCCACCTGAGGTACGCTGGAAATCTGACCCATCGTCAGCGGCGAACAAGACTAATAAAGTCGGTTAGACCTCACCTTAGAACTCGGCGCATACCATCCAGCTGCCGGTGGTGGGCTGCCATTTGCTTTTATTGAATCATTTCGAGATACCTTAATTGGAATTTCTCAGTGTACCAGCATCTGAACGCTGGAAAATCCGAATATGTGCTCACTCTTTGAATGTTGGGAAGTTGCATGTTGATTTCAATTCCATGTTCCTGATACCACTGAGCCCCTTCCTCCGATATGACCAGCATTTCACAGCGGGTAGCATTTTCCTTGATGCGTTCGACTACCTAAATCGGCAAATTTTCTGTGCAGCGGGAAAGATCGCCTAAAAAAAAAACAACTATTGTCTAGATATAGCAGGATGTCTTGAAGGAAATCTTCTCTGAAGAAGTTATGTAACTGAAATTAGGCATCGCATCTGTTTATCAAGCCGTACATTTACGCCTCTTTCTACCTACCATGATTTTTTTTACCAACAAGATTTCTGGGAACAAGTTTTTCTTCCTTAGTGAAGTTTTCTTGGTTTGTGGGTTTCCAAGTCTCCCAAAAAAAGACGAAGAATCAGAGTGCCCTCTCTCCGTCTGACCTGGAACAGCCCGGAAGAAGACAGAGAATTCAGCCGTAATAACCAGTTTCAGAATTCAGGATGATCGTAGTAGAGGGAGCAAACTCTTCTGTCGTGCCTGTATCCGCGTTATACAGTTCTTTCACCACATTAGACGGTAATCTGCTAACACCAAAAACTATAGCTGTCCATTTGCAGCAGGATGGCTGCCTTCTGCCAACAAGCCTAGTATGTGTTTGCAGGACACTGTAAGATAAACGATGACTCTCACTTCCGGACGGTCAGTTTATCAAAAATATTGATGATGAGTCAAGCTTGCAGCAAGCACTCATTCCACGATGAATACTATCTATATTACCACACACTGCTCTGCTATTCCTGAGGAAAGACACCAGAACGCATTTTCGCCCATTTTTCTCAGGGACTTATTCGTTCCGGAAACAGATCCAATCCACAAAGTAAGCATTCTTCAAGTGAATTCGAAGAAACGAAAGTCAAAAGAGATACACTCTTCAGCAGAAGGCTCAGTCAACATGTATCCAGCACATCTGGACAAGCTGTGACGATATGGGGGCGGTTGGATGTTGCGGCTGGTATTACTACTGGGGCCATTGGCCGTAAGTTGCCTACAACACTGTACGATCTTACATACACGCCTTCTCAACTCTCGTCCGCCACTCAAAACCCTCTATCATTGGATTGCGGAGGCCCACTCCACTTATAAGTAATCACTATGGTTGGCACACTTGTAAGTTCGCATTTCTGCATGCTGAAAAGAGAGCAACGAGTGACAGGGGACTCGATTACAACCAGTGCACGTCACGTCTTTCGGAAAATACATCCCCCTCCCGACTTGTTCCTCTGCTACGACTCCCCCTTCCCCACACTTAGTATGCACCTTGCCAACTCTCCAAGCTTCCCACTACTTTTTCCGGGATTCCAAAATTTCCAGATTTTCGCTCGAGCGGGGGAGGGATAGGGGTAGAGAAGGGTAAAACGCGACAACCTATATCTGAAAAAATTGTTCGCCAAACGCGGCACAATATCTCTCTTGAGGCGAATCACCCCGACCCTCTCTCCACTCCTAGCGACGAGAAATTACGACCCCCCTCCCAACTTGGAGTCGAACCTACATCAACGAGTGTGAATTAGCGCTTGCTGAAAACAGGGAAAAAAAACAACTATCAAAAATTTTTCTCAGACCAAGTACGACTCCCCTCCCTTCCCTTACCATATACGACCACCCCGCTAGGGTTCGACGTAGGACTTGTCCTGGTTACACACAAACAAATCACTATCCAACCTTCTAATCGATAAATTTGCCTTGAATATTAATTCAGTGAAATGCAAGAGGTCTATAAAGTTCTAAATATTCTGTTAATAACCCCTATTTTTGTCAAATACGACAGCAACACCGACACAATAAAATACAAGCCCACATACTAAGCTAATGAAGTCATTCCGCAACCCAAAAACTGAGAAACTACGAATTCAAGTGATGCGGACGAGTTGTTCGGAGCAGAAGATGCAGTGCAGAGAACCTGGTTGGTGAAATTACAATCAACCGCGACTCCTACACATAATTACCAGTCGCATACACCCTGCTGGCAGTCAACTATGATTGATGTTGGTACTCTCCAAGCATTTCAAGAGGACTTCTGTGGACCATTCTTCTCTCCTTCCTGGCCTTCTGCCTCCTGAGCCTGGGTCAACCCACAAGATGTAAACCTTAAGGCTGCAAGGCGTAGGGTGCGGTCTGGCCGGAGAGGCTGCGGGTCAATACTGATGTGCCCTCATTATTCTACCCGTGAAAGTGCTTGAGGATTCCCTATTATTCTCGCTTTCGTAACGCCCTCGCAGACGAGTGCATTTAATACTATCAATATGCCCAATCCTCAATGATTCTTGTTCCGAAAAAGATGGGTGAAAAAAAACCCATAAATCAGATGGAATTGCTCTTCGAGTGCCACGGTCATCTGGTCATAAAATTGTATCGCCTGCGACGACAAAAAAACACATGTGAAAATACTGCTATTTTCCTCCCCCGACTTGAAAAAAAACTAACTTTTTTGTGACTTTCGCCAATGATGCTGTGTCCATTCACGGCGAAAATACGGTCGCCCGTGCGAAGTCCGCCTAAATCTGCGGGTGAGCCCTGAAAAGAAATAATCGTTGTCGAATTAGATGAAGGATGTAGGAAATAACAAAAAGAGAGAAAAGAGAGAGAGGAAAAAGATCTACCTTGTCGACCATCCCCACAAACTGTCCACGGCCTCTCTCTGCATGGAGATTGTAGCCATATTCCTGAAAAGAATTCCATTAAATCCACTTCGATGATTAGCCTCTAGGAATAGTAGGCGAGTTAGTATGATTTTTGGTCCGCGTTCTTGTTCAGAATAAAACGCGCAGATGCGAGCACGCACTTTCTTCCCAAATTAGCTTTCTCACAGATTCTTCACATTCACAAAGTCGTGAAGAAAGGTAGTGTGCATGTGTTAAATTGGCTCCCGTCTAACCGTCTGTTGCACTCTTTTCCCGATTCGCGCATTTTGCGGATTCGCAAATTCGCCACATCCGCGAAGTATGAAAGCAGCTTTTTCCAAGAATGATGAGCTGATTCTGAGATTTTTCTCAATCTCTGTGTCGAGAATGGAACTAGAATGAAAGGTTGTACTGTCGCACTACAGCTAATATCCATAGCAACGATTTCAGCAGACGGCAACATGGTCAATGATTTCATTTATTCATACGCTAAACAATATATGCATGAGAGGGTTATTTGAAAAAAAACTGGAATAAAAATTGCAGCTTTAAGTGCTTTAAGTGCAGCTGGTTACCAGCGATTGCAGTTTATAGGTCAGCGACAAAAAAAGTCGCAAATCACAACCAAGTAACTTCACAACAAGGAGGTTGGCTCATGAGTACAGTTGCTCACCAATGTTTATACTAGTCGGCAATGGTTCCCTAACGCCACAACTCGGGGTCATAGGTCCTTACCGCAACCAAAGCGGGTTCTGGCGTTTGGAGAATTTCGCTCAATACGACCCTACCTTCTCCCAAAGTTTCATCGGCTGCGATCTCCTTATAACGACCCACCGATCATCTCACCAAACTTTCCCAAACATCCCCCCCCATAAAATAGTTGACACCTCCATTGAAACTTGCACCGCCGCCGACTGGAGGAAAGGAATCTCCAGTCGGGTAGAGGGACCAAAAATACCCCGCACCCCTACGGGGACTCCAACGTGCGACATGCTTTGGTCGGAACTTTGAGAAACTCGCATACCAATATCTCCCGTGGAAGTGGCAAGTCTGGCATAAGCCAGAAGGCAGGACCACGTGGTCGAGGGACCTCTAATAAAAGACGGAAGTCAGATTTGAGCTGAAATTGTTAGTGAAGTTGTGGCACCGTAATGTATCAGGGCAATGCATCGAAGGGACAATAGCAATATCATCTTGTCAGTAGAGAAGAAGAAAATAAGAAATAGAAGAAAGCAAAGAGTGTTTATACCTGATCAGGTGAAGATTTCTCCACAATGCAAAGTCTGGGCGAAGGTGCGTCTAACGGCAGTTGAACCATAGCAGAAGGTAAAAAGGCTATACCACCAGCCGAGAATTATCTGAAAAACATGTGAGTGATGCAAATCCTCTTACAGGAATAACAACGAAACTGCTGACGCCATTCAAACAATGAAAGAGATGTCTCATCCATGCTTCGAACAAGAAATGCCGAAATGTTTTCACAACGGCAATTCAAAGAGAAGAAAAGGTGAAGATCGACAATGCGTCTGCCCGAAGCAACTGAACAGGAAAGAGGAAAGGGGGATAGAATGGAGATCTACACATGGCTATCAGACAAGGACGCAGTTTTTGAATAAGCAGCATAAGCTTTTATTTATGTTCTATGAAAAAAAGGATATTAAAAATCACATAATACGGTAAATCACCCAAGAAAATGTCCAAGAAATGGGATGCACGCTTGCGATTTGCATTTGCAAGCACTTTTGGCATTCTTGCCAGTAATAAGCTTAACGGGAGGCAGCTCCGTGGCGGCCGAACCTGCTCACCTATTCTTTCCTTCGCCCCAGACTTATTTTAGATGAAAGTTCAATGACATTCAAAATAGCAGAAAATTTTTTGAATACCTGTACCAAAGTGCTCGGGTATTTTAGACCAGGGCCAAAAGAACTTGAATTTGAAAGCGAGCGACTCTCATGCATCTACCTAAACGAGTGATTATTTCACTTTGTTTCAGCTCGTTCTGAGTTTACGAAATTGACAGCTGGAGTGACACACTTTGTTTCAGCTCGTTCTGAGTTTACGAAATTGACAGCTGGCGTGACAACGATTAACTCAGAAGTTTGCGAATAAAGGCAGTCCTGACTACGTCATTTATATGGTGCGAGAGTCGGACTAACAATAAGCGTGGCTGAATTGCACGTATTTTAAATTGATATCATACACTGAAAAATGAATAGCGGGTAGAAAATTAAAAAGGGAAAATCCCAATCAAAAAGCCGCTCACTTCGATTGCAAGCCATTTTTTCTGAATCATAGACTTTGCCGAAGGATAGCGATAGCCGCCTATCAATCACAGGACTGGACCCTTATGCGGAGCGATATCCGCAGATTTCGACGGAGAAAGTAGATTGGGGAAAAAAAGAAAAATAGAACGAGTTCCACGAGAAAGCAATAAAGCGCTCACGAATTGAGAAGCAAATCACGCTAGCCTGCAAGGATAAAAGGGAATATTTGAAGATATTTGCATCAGTGAATAAAAACACTAGCAATCAAGCGAAATAATAATATTTCGACTGAAAAAAGAAGAAAAGTGCGGTGCTACAAACGATGGCCGCGCGGAGTGACGGCCAGCTGGCTTGTGATGTGAAAAAAAACACAAGTTGGTTGCACTTTTTTCGTCTACGTTGGGCTGGAACGTCGTGAGATTGCTGTAACGGCGACGTTGAAAAAAATAAGCAAAAGCGCTAGTAGAATGGATTGGTGTGTAGTCCAGAAACCCTTCGAAAATCAGAGGCTTAGCCAGCACTCATAGCTAGTTGACCGGGCACAGCACTATCGCGTCAAATCAAATGTTTCTTGACAGCTTTCATTGAGGTGAGGCCATCAGATCAACGGCATAGGACGTAAGCTGTCATGACATACTTAATCTGAAATCTCGATGCTCTCTCGAGTCAACTAGCTAGGGATACTAGTTCGCGAACGACGCCGCCCTTTGGCTAATGCAATTTGGACGCGCTGAGTTTTGGCTGCGAGCTCATTTTAAAGTGCCTAGATCACCAAATCCGCTGAAAACTTGTATATAGAGGTAATCTAACATCCTGTTCACAAATATGACATTCATTCTTGGCGCTGGCGCTAATGGAGGACACTACGATTATCTTCTGGGTTCAGCTTTAGCAGAGGGCAGATAATCGTAGTGTTCTCCATTAGCGCCAGCAGAAAGAATGAATGTCATATTCGTAATCAGGATGTTAGATTACCTCTATAAACCAATCAACGGATTTGGTGAATTAGGCACTTTAAAAATGAGCTCGCAGCTAAAGTCAGGGGAGACGGTAAAGAGGATCGTAATTTGCCGCACCGCCACGCGCGGCGATGGGCGCGGCGTTTTCATAACTCGTTTTAACCTGTCGAATGGAGCACCGGACTTCATGTAGACCCCGTCATCGTAGACTCATTACTGTTTTCGGTCCTTAATTGCATGTTGTCGCCATCTACTACCTGGAACCATCGTCCTTTGCAGACGAGACGTCGCACGCGACGCCCAGCAGCGCGGCGAATTACGATCCTCTTGTTACATACCCTTCGGAGACAGGTAAACGGCTGCTACCGTAACCCAGCCCGTTGAAGGA